AGATGTCCCAAATGAGAAGTTTTTCATTACTGCATTCATAGTTGGTTTAAGCATGCAATCCAAATACCTGATGTTTTCTATTTCGAAGAACCCTTAGGCAAGCATGGCTGAGGTGTTGGCCAAAGCAGAGAAGTGCATAAACGGTGAAGAAGCTCTTCTCTTAAAGGTAGGAAGCTCATCCACACAAAAAGATAAAGGGCAAGAAGAGAAAAAGAGGGACCGAAGTCCCATAAGAGAAAAAGGACGAGAGAGGTCCCAAAGAAGAGACAGAGATCGCTCCCCCAAAAGAAAAGGAGACGTCAGAGACCGCCTAGGTCTACCGCAGCCAGGGTTGTAGCCAAGGGACGTACCTCGGTAGCTCTCTCCTCTCACAACCACGATATCGCAGATTTTGTATGAGGTGAAAAAATGAGTAATTCCTAAGGTGGCCACCTCGGATGAAAGCAAACATAGCAAAAAAAGATCCCACGAAGTACTGCGAGTACCACAAGGATCATGGTCACCACACTGATGATTGTATCCAATTAAAGAAAGAGATTGAGTTCTTGATCTAGCGAGGGCAGTTACGCCGCTACGTAGCCTAAGATAATCAGAACCGAGCTCCACCACCTCAGCAACAGGCCCTTGTGCAGCACCAGAAACCCTTATGGGAGATCAGAGTAATATCGGGAGGACTCGCATGAGGGGGAGAATCCAGCTCAGCCAGAAAGGCCCACCTGCGTAGAATTAGAGCTGGCGAAGCACTAGAGGTGTATATCGTGTCCAAGGCACCTCGGCTAAGCACAACCATCACCTTCTCAGACTCAAATTTTGAAGGTTGTCAACATCCCCTTGATGACCCATTGGTGGTAACGGCTATCGTGGCTAACAGAATTGTTCATCGGGTTCTAATTGACAACGGGAGTTTTGCGGATATCATTTTTACCTCTGTATTTGACAAAATGGGCATAGGTAGGAAAAAGCTTAAGCTAGTAAGTGTTCACCTGTTGGAGTTCATTGGAGAAAGGGTACTACCCCTAGGCTCAATCCAGCTTGTTCTCACTATGGGAGATTCTTCCTGCCAAGCCACCACCGCAGTAAGATTCTTGGTGGTTGATGCCCCTTCAGCATACAATATGCTGCTCGGGAGACTTTCCCTCAACTCAATGAAAGCAATCTCCTCTGCCTATCACCTGGTGATGAAATTTCCTATAGATAATGGAGTTGGAGTAGTCTGAGGAGACCAACGTATAGCAAGGGAGTGCTACATGACCTCGATGAAGTAGAAAGAGGTTGAAAGTATTTAGTTAGATGAGCTCGACATGAGAGACGAGTTGGACACTAGACCAATGCCATCGGAAGAACTGGAGTCTGTTCAGCTCGATGGGGAGCCAGAACACCTTGTTTACGTTGGATCAAAACTAAGTAGGGAAATTAAGGACCTCCTCATTCAGTTCCTGAAGGAAAACATGGGAGTGTTCGCCTGGAGACAAGAAGACATGAAAGGTATTGACCCCTCGGTTATCACACATAAGTTAAGTGTGAATCCCACCTACAAGCCTGTTAAGCAGAAACAAAGAAGTTTTGCCTCCGAACGACAGAAAGCAATCAATAAGGAGGTCAACAAACTTCTTTACGCCAAAGCCATTAGGGAAGTAGACTACCTTACCTGGTTAGCCAATGTAGTTCTTGTCAAAAAGACCAATGGCAAGTGGCAACTCTGCATTGACTTCACTGATCTCAACCGAGCATACCCAAATGATAGCTTTTCCTTACCTAGGATCGACTTAATAGTAGATGCCACCACTGGACATGAGCTCCTCAACTTCATGGATGCTTTCTCAGGCTATAATCAAATTAGGATGGACCCAACTGACTAGGATAAGACCTCCTTTGTGACTGAGCAGGGAACTTACTATTATCAGATCATACCTTCTGGACTGAAGAACGCTGGAGCCACCTACCAACGCCTGGTGAATCGAATGTTCAAAAAATAAATTGGGACATCCATGGAGGTCTATATCGATGATATGTTGGTAAAGTCGCTAAAGGCGGAGATCCACATTGAGCACCTAGCAGAATCGTTCGAAGTCCTTAAGGAATCACTGTTTGGTGTTATTGTTTAGTGTAACTGTTTAAATTATATGCATAAATAGAGTCACTATTTGGTGTAGCTGTTTAAAGTGACCATTTAAATTAAACGCATAAACATAAACATGTAACTTTTGACAAAGTTTTTCAAATCTCTTCAAAATACTACAAATTGTAAAAAATCGGTTTTAACAATTTGCAATATTTTAGAATAGTTAAAAATACAAATAACATGAGTCAGAAACACAATAAATAATTATACAAATAGAAAATTTGTCTTAAGATTGTCGTTTATAATATTCCAAATATAGTAAAATCACTTATTGAAATTTCTGATTTGAAACGTATAGTTTAAAATAAAATAGAAATAGACAAGAATAAAATAGTTACAGTAGTATGTAAGAAATAGTAAAATATACAAACAAAATAGTAACACAATAAATATGGGTTTAAAAAATTATAAAAATGACCCCTTTGCAAAACAAGAACTGTTATTAAACTTTAAATAGATCAAGGCTAGTGTTTAACACTATGTCCTTTAGACAAATTTCATCCCCACACACAGTGCTTACGAAAATTAAAGTGTCTGACTCCCAAGATACAATGATCTTCACGCGAATAAAGTAGTAGTACTCCAATATACTCACCCAATGAATTAAAAATTATGTTGTGTACTCTACAAATATAGTCTGCTAATGATGTATGAGACTACCTTAATGACTTAATATTTATAGTGACCGATCCGGACAATCACCATATGAAATGGATGCAACCCAGCAAACAAATGCAGTAAGAAGACACCATTGATTAACTGTTCATTTATGAAAAGACACAACTAAAATTTGGAACTGGAGGGAACACTAACCCGAACCAGTGTGAATATTAAATCCACCGGGTACTGAAATCAAATTCCGGTTAACAAATTCATGCCAATTCGTTAAAAAAATTTCTCCAAAAAAATAAGGCTTAGTCTAAACAACACCTGTACCTGAGCTCAAGCGCGGCCCAATGGAGTTGTGGCAAGGGGCGCTTTTTTGTGCAACGCAATCATTTCCTAGCGTTACACTTCCTCCACTTTATTTCTAATAAGTTTTAAATAAATCACGATCAAAATAAACATGTACATTAGCCCTCGAGTCTAATCGCCAATCTTTATCTTGATAGGTTAAATTAACTAGGGAACGATTATACTAAAAGAGGGTTTGACAAAATTATCTCCATCCACTAGAATATTGACTTGGGCTCTTAGACCTCTTAGATTTGGATTGGGCTTTGGCTTATACGACTCAGTCTTCTTGTAGTAGAAATCCTTAGCCAAATGATTGGTTTGTCCAAAAACAAAGCAAAGCATCCTTGCTCTCCCTAGATTTTGTTTTTGACCATTATTAGGACTATCATTAAACCCATTATTCTTAAAATTCTTCCCCTTGATCAGAAATCTCTATGGTTGTTGTTACTATTTTCCACTAGGTTTACCTTAGGAGGTCTCTCATTTTGTAAGTTTATACCAACCTTATGCTTCTCTTCAACTCTTAGCACATTTATAGTTTGGGTTATGGTTAATTCTCCTTGCACATGCCTAAAGGTCTTAACAAAATTATATCAAGAAGGCGAAAGTTTGTCAATTAAGCTTGAAACTTTAAAATCTTCACTAAATATTGCTCCACCTTTTCCAATTTTTCTCAAAAATTCTTGATATTCATGAATTTGATCACCAATAGGTTTATTCTCCACCATTTTATAATTATTAAAATTAGATATCATAAACCTTTTAATTGCAGCATCAACAATCTCATAATCGGCCTCTAAAGTGTTCCAAAGTTCTTTAGAGATTGTCGTAGTATTATGGTAGACATCGCAATTTGTTTGAGGGAATACCATGAAAATGACACTTGACTAGGTTGGGGCTCTTCTATGACAGAAATTAAGCCTAGTACAATCAACATATATCGAACTTGTTTTTGCTACCTACGAAAATTTTGACAACTAAATTTTTCGGTTTTGACACAATTAGCTTCTTCTAGTCTAGTCATCCATAATTTAGAATTTAAGGGAAAAATAGTTAGAGATATGAAAAGAACCTTTATTGAATTTAAATACCAACTGTTAAAAACTCTAGCTTGTGGTATATTGAGTGTGTGTGATGCCCCCATATGTAGCGGGGGCTTATAATTTATACACAAGTACAACTTCATAAAGCCTTGAAAGGAGCCTTGATTGAGGCACTATTATGGGGAGCCCTAACTGTGGTGTCACTCTCATAATGGGGAGTGGGGTGAATCTGTGATGCCAGGCGTAACAGACGATGTGGTTGAAGCTGGCGATGCACACCCTAATGACTGCACTCGATGATTCCCTCCCTAAGATAGAGATATGCACATGTGCTAGCAATAGATTGGGTCTCCCAAGAGAGTAGGTTTGACCCTTGTTGGCTGCATATCTGATCTAGGCCTAGTCTGGGTTGGGCTTGCATCTGTGATCTAGGTCTGGCCTAGGCTGAGCCTGTATCTCTAATCTGAGTCTGGTCTCGATCGAGGCCCTAATTTTTGGTATGGGTTGGGCCCATAATTTGCCCCCCATGCCTAGAGTCCAATGAAATTTGGGGGAGAAGGCATCAGTAAGAATTCATCCTCTTTTGGCAGCAGATATCTTTTTTAGTAGTAGATATCTAAGAGTCTTCTTTCGGTAGGGTTCTCCTTTTAGCAGTAGATACCTAGGGGTTCTTTTTTAGTAGTAGGGTTTGCTTTTAGCAGTAGTTAGCTTTAAATAGAGCTCCTCATACTCATCTAAGAAAAAAAAACAGAGAAAACTTGAGATGTTGAGTATGGGAGGAAGAGGAGCAGAGGGTTCCAGGTGCTGAGGTGCAAAACAAAGATATAGGCACAGAGACCCAAGCATCATTGGAGGCTGGTGAGGGCACTGTTGATGCGATGAGCCTGCTAGCGTTAAGGTGGAGGCGCAAGCAGGCAGGCAAGGCACAAGCTCTAAGGCAAAGGCTCAGGCTGGGCAGGAGGGTGCTAGGCGCTCAGACGCAGATCATTGGGCAAAGAAAAAGTGCTGAGGCAAAGGCGTAGGTGAGCGTTGGCCACTATCTATGGTGTAGGCGCCCAGGTAGAGTCGTATGAGGGTGCACAAGCGTGGGTGTGTGAGGTACGAGCACAAGCAGTGGTGTTGGCGCTAAGCGTGAGGGTTGGGCTTGCTATGGCCTGCTTGGTACGTACTGTGGGTGCTGGCAGGACGCTGCTGGGCATGGCCATTTGGGGCGAGATGTAGAAAAGCAAGGAAACAATGGCTTTTGGAGGTGATAAAGGCCTAAACGATGTTGCCCAACGTCTACAACGATGCAAGCATTGTGGCAAAGTAGTTGTTGACAATGAGGGTTCTAAAGTGAGCACTATTTTCAGTATCATCAATATCAATTCGAAGATTGCTAGTATTGTCTCAATTTTTTATAGTCCCCCTACCGTTTTGTGTCGTTGGGCTGAGATGGGAGAGTTAGCGTTTGATGACTCTTCAAGGGAAATTGTCATCTATGAAAAGGTGCCAGAAAAAGGTTTGAGATTTCTGATGCCTACACCTGTGTGTCGTGTCTTGGAGAAGTTGTCTCTAGTGCCAGCGTAACTAGTTCCAAATGGTTGGAGAGTGTTGTTAGCATTTCTTTCACTGTGGCGAAGGGTGCATGGTGTGGGCCTCTCTCCTACTTTCGAAGAATTTTTTGCCGCCTATATGTTACAGGAGAACCCCACTCCCAATCGAGATTTGTATCATATTTATCCATGGGCGGGAAAACTAATTACTAGACTTCGCTCTAACTATCACAGTTGGAAGGCTTGAAGTTTATTCCTAAGAGGAAAGTGGGCTACTGAGGAAAATCACAGTCTAGTTCCAGTGAGATGGGGTGGTGCACCCACAAGGACAAGTATAAATCTTTCCTTTCTTATTTTTATCTAGTTGATGTGTCCTTTATGTCTTCACCATGAATTTAGCTCTTTTTCAGGTTTGCTAGAGTTGTCAACAAATCAAAAGAAAAGGCTTAGGCTTGTTAGAGATTATACAATTATCATGACTGGGGAGAGTCAAGCAAGAGGTTTCCCCCTCAGGAGGTGCTTCCACTCCATTTTTTCTTCACAGGCTCGCGGTTCTTTTTCCAAGAACAAAGGTATGTTATTTTTATGGCGAATACATTGATATTTTCAATTTCTAAAAATATCTCCCTTTATTTAGGCCCCGCAATAAATAGATCGAGGTTGGAGGCTCTCTACTTCGCTAGGGCTACGCAACCGACTCTTCTACCCAAGAGGGTAAGGTTCGATCATGCCCCCATAGCTTCCCTAGAGGTAACTCCTCTGCCTGTTCCAGTTATCCAGGCACCTCCCTTGGCTACTCTGCCAGTCAGAGTGTCTTCAGAGACAAGGACTCCTCATTTCGTACATACCAAAGCGCTACCTACTTCTCTAGCGTCCAGCAGTGGTTTAGTGTTGATTTGATAAAATTTAATGCTAATTGAATAAATTTGAATATTGCTTTGATGAAATTGAATGTTCATTTAGTGTTAAATTAAATAGATGATATTAATTTGATAAAGTTAAATATTAAATAAATTGACATCAAATGAAATTGAATGTCAATTTATTGATGATTGATGAAATCAAATAATAATGTAACGTTAAATTAAAGAAATAATAAAAATTTGATGAAATAAAATATTAAATTAATATAACTAAATGATAATTTGATAAAATTAACTATTAATTTAGTGTTGACCTAATAAAATTTAAAGGAATAAATTTAATTCCTACTTTAATAAATTTGAATGTTGCTTTAATAGAATTGAATGTTCATTTGGTGTTAAATTAAATAAATGACATTAATTTGATAAGATTAAATGTTAAATTAATAGAATTTCATATTCTATTTAATATATTCTATTTTAATTTAATAAAATTGAATGTCAGTTTACTATTGATTTGATTAAATTAAATAATAATTTAATGTTAAATTAAAGAATAATATTAATTTGATAAAATAAAATATTAAATTAATATAACAAAATGCTAATTTGATACAATAAAATATCAATTTTGTGTTGATTTAATGAGATGAAATATTAATTTAGTTTAAATAAATATTAAACTGATAAGCTTAAGGCTAATATAATATAATTAAAAATGAGTGCATTGAAATTTCAGAATCAGGAGAAAATATTGTTAAAGTTAGGTCTATTTACGAAGGGTGTGGATCAAATTTACCGCATAAGTGTGATATTTGTGATTTATTGTTTTTATCTTAACTTGAGCCTATTAAGTTGTAACTGGTACCTATATATGTAATATTACAAGTAAGAAGTTGATTTCTTAACTTATAAAAAGCACAATAAGAATTAAGATTGATTTAATTCTTTTTTACTTTGATTTAATAGTACAAAATTCATATTTACATTCATTTTTCCGTTTAGAAATATCTTATTGTACAGATCCAATGTCAGACAACTCAACCACCACATTCTTCAATGCCAAATAGCCTTATTGATTGACACCTACATCCATCTTATTTTATCTTTGTCCACTCTAATTTAAATTACATAATTAAAAAATAAAACTAAAAACAAATTATTATTTGAAATATAAGTCACACACCATTAATGATCAATTTTTTATACTATAGAGTGTCTTCGGGCACAAGTTATTGCTAATATATTTATAACTTTCAATGCAATATCCCTTTGCTAGTCAATATAAGTATGTGATTCCAAAAAAAAATTATAATCGTCATACTAAAATTGATCGAGATCCGTTGATTTTGATTTGATGTATTTATATTCATCGATTATAAAAATTATAAAATAATGTAGAATAAAAGTAAAAAAAATTTTAAAAAAAATTATACGTGTCAAAATTTAATCAGATAACAAGAAAAAGGTACCACACTAAAAAAATATTAATCAGCGCAAACAATTATAAGTCTGCGTGGTCATTCCAGTCGTCCAAAATTAGTTATTTCCCCTAATGGTGCAGGCCTAACTCAACTCATCATCAAACAAATTCTTCTGGCTGACTTGTCCGTTTTCTGGGTTTTAGACTTTAGTGTCTGATTCACGTTTAGTACTTTTCTTTGTAATACTTTTATGAGGAGTGTTACTATATTGAAATACATTTGTTTATTTTTTATTTAATGATTTGTTTGAATTATATTTGAACACGGGTACCTCTGCGGTAGGATATAGTCTTACCCTACTTTCACAAGCAACCTCTCAAGCAGCCAACTCCCGCCGCGAGAAAGTCAATAAAATAGCCCTAATCACGTGGTAAATGGAGTTGTTAGAATAGTCAAAAATTAAGCTGTCATCTAGATGATAGGAAACATCCATGCATGTACGGAAACTAGAGTTACCCGCGTCTAAAAGTATTGTGTAATGTGAATAATTTTGTGAAAGATATTGGTGGGAATTAGATGATTTTATTTGAGACCATCAGATAAATTTTTTAAAATCTGTCTTGTTTTATATTATAAATACTACCAAGTAAGACAATGTCAAGATGCTTCTCAATAAAAAATATTAAGAACATTTGATTCTAACGGAGTGGAAAACCATTTTGGAAAGGCAAATAAAGAGAATTACTAGGTGCACAGCACTTTTTTTTTATTTTTTTTTATGCTAAATGAAACTCCAAATACTACAAGAAGTCAGATGTATGCAATCTAACTCTCATGTACATTCAACAAACCCAAATATGACCATGCACCATGTAAAATGTCAGCTACCTCTATATACCCATTATTATTGACTGACTCACGAAAATTACAACAAAAAAAGTTTCCTTTGAAGTCCTATAAATAGCTGACGATTCATACGGTTTTTCCCCACAAAACCAGCAACAAGAAATGAAGATGATTACAACCCCAAGAGTTTCATTGCTTTCACTTTTTGTTTTTCTCTTCTCTTTGTTATGGGCAGCTTCAGCTCATACGAATGAAGATTTTCTTCAATGTCTTTCCCAACGTTTTCAAAACTCCACCTCAATGTCTCAAATTATTTACACACCAAACAACTCTTCATATTCATCTATCTTGGATTTCTCGATACAAAATCTAAGATTCACTTCACCTAGCACCCCACGACCTTTAGCGATAGTCACACCAACACATGAGTCTCATATCCAAAGAGCCATATATTGTTCTAAGAAACACAACATACAAATAAGGGTTCGAAGCGGAGGACATGACTATGAGGGTCTCTCTTATGTTTCTTTAGTACCGTTCATCATCATTGATATGATAAATATGCGATCTGTCAATATCAATACTGAAGACAACACGGCATGGATTCAAGCCGGAGCTACTCTTGGCGAACTTTATTATAATATTGTAAATAAGAGTAGCACACTTGCCTTTCCAGGAGGCATTTGCCCTTCCGTGGGTTCTGGCGGGCATATAAGTGGGGGAGGGTATGGCATTCTGTTACGTAAATTTGGTCTTGCTGTTGATCATGTAACTGACGCTCGATTAATAGATGTCAACGGTAAAATTCTCGATAGAGAATCAATGGGGGAAGACCTCTTCTGGGCAATTAGAGGTGGTGGAGGTGCTAGTTTCGGTGTTATCTTGGAATGGAAATTAAATTTAGTTATTGTTCCAGAGACTGTAACTGTTTTTACAGTAAGTAGAACTTTGGAACAAAATGCAACCAAGCTTGTTCATCGATGGCAATACATTGCAGACAAGGTTGATGAGAATCTTTTCATCAGAGTTGTCGCAAGGAACGTGAATTCTAGTGAAGATGGAAAGAAAACACTTCAGGTCTCATTCTTTTCATTATTCCTTGGAGGAGTTGATAGCTTACTTCAACTGATGCAAGAAGAATTTCCAGAGCTAGGTTTGGTTAAAGAAGACTGCACCAAAATGAGTTGGATTGAATCTGTTCTTTTTTTCTATGGTGTGGAATTAGAATCTCTTGAGGATTTGCTGAATAGGAATTATTCATATAGGAGTTACTACAAAATAAAGTCAGACTATGTGACCGAACCCATTCCTGAAAGTGCAATCGAAGGGATGTGGAAAAGGTTTTCTAAAGAAGAGGTTGGTGTTCCTGTGTGGGTGTTGACTCCTTATGGCGGAAAAATGAGTGAAATTGCAGAATCTGAAACCCCTTTTCCTCATAGAGCTGGAAATATATATAAAATTGAATATCAGGTGGGCTGGGCAGAACAAGGAACAACAGCTTTGGAAAGGCATATGAGTTGGGTCCGAGAGGTTTACGAATATATGGCTCCCTATGTTTCCAAAAATCCGAGACAAGCATAT